GAATATTATTAGAAAATCCTGAACATGCCATAATTTAACACGACTCAGTCGGTCAAGCAACGGGTTAGGCGTTTTGCGTAACCATTATTACAGCTGATTCTTTACAATAACGTGTTACATTATTTGATTTCAGCCTTTCGTTACACACCTCAGAGTAGTAAAAACAACTTAGAAACAATTAAGACAACTAGTGTATCTATGAAGGAAACATAGACAGAGAGGTGAAACAATGTAGTCAGGTATTGTAGACCAAGTGTCTATGTGGCACAACAGTGGTCCAAATAGAACCTAATTAGAAAAAGTCTACGTTTAGATTATATCAGATTTTTGAAGTGGCTATCAGCCCATTCTACTGAAACCTTTTCATATTATTGTGGAATACTCCATATACAGGGTGGTCCGAATTGTATTCCGGAATCTTCGGCAGCATATTTTGCAAATAAAAATAAGTGAAAGAGTTCGTATATGTGTATGCCATAAAATGCTTAGTTTCGGAGATACAGGGTGTAGAAGTTTCATTTTTATTTCGATTTTTTCAAAATAATTTCTGAAGTAACGTCAATATTTGGATGAAAATTGGTGTCTGCTAATTTTTTGACATGAGAAATTTGATTTTGTTGTTAATATGACTCATATTTGTAGGTACCGCCACCTACATGTGTTTTAACTGCTTTGAATTGTAATAACTTTTCCTCCGTACCTGTATAAAACTACTGAGTGAAAATATATATATTTTCGTGAGTTTTTACGTAAAAAATGTCTCTTAAAACGGTAAACATCGCTACGAACAACCGTTCTCAAGATATTTGACCTCTTGTGGTATTACTAGTGAATATTCTACTATGAGCTTTTCCGCCTGTCTCTGCCTTGATTAACTTCACCACCACGCTAGACATTTCTTGGCCACCTACTGTTTTGGGGGTTTTCTTGTAACAATTGCTTACAGAAGGGTTCTGGGCCATTGATGAGCCTTCTTTGGCCTTTTCATTACCCTTGTGACTCTCGTGCCCTGGTACCCACGCTGACGTCACATTACTATCCTCACCCAATGAATTTTGAACAGGCACACAAGCCCACATTAGTCTGTTTTTAATATATTTTGTATTTCATTTTTTTATCACTCTGAATTTAAAAGACAACACCTAGCCACATTATCATATAGCATAAATTGGCATTTGATTCAATTTTTATACCTATTAGCAGAAATTCAAATAGTCTTAATTGAATGAATAAAATTATTGGAATGGAAATAAAATATATGCGAAATGCTATAAGAAGAGAGTAGGTACAAACTCTTTCAGTCTTTAATTCATAATTTTAAAGTTTCAACATCCTGTAAATCTAAAGCTATGCATATCCATGTTTATAGGAACTATTCTTCATATTTTTTGATGAGGCATCAATGAGTACTTATTTAAAACTGTCGTAAATGATATTAATTTTTTACCATCAAAATTTTAAAAATAAAGAATGACACATTAAACATTGTCATTTGGATGTCATTATGGCTTTCATAATAGCACTAGTGCTATTATGAATTCATAATAACACGCAAATTTTAAAATAAGAAACAAGCAAAAAAAGGTACCTAAATACGTTTATTTATTGTAAACATTAATTATAATATCAGTACAATTGGTTAAATTAATTTCAGACGATGACAGGTGAGTTGAATTTTTAGAAAGTAAATTTATTTCCTGAGTGCTTGAACTTGTTGAGACCCATCATTGCCAGAAATGTTGCCCAAAATATTACATGACACTTTTTTCTTATTTTCTTTGGAATTTTCTATATAGCTCTCTGCCACTATGTTATAGCGCCAACCACTATGTCTTTTAACAGTTAATAAATCCACTCCTGAATCTGCAAGCAACGGCGCAGACGATCTACGGAAACAATGTCCAGTGTATTGTTGTGGATTTGGAAGACTTAGGAACAATGCTATTTTATACGGCATTTTCCCTAAAGTATTAATGCCAACGGGTTGCTTAATGCATTTCCCATTTCTATACCCCACAAAAAATCGAGTATGCTCTGTGTTGCTTGGCCGCATAGCTATATATCTTCGAACCATTTCCACCATATTTATTCCTTCAACATTCCCTTTCGTTATAAAAAAATCTCGTGATATCTTTGTTTTCGTAAATGGAATAATGACATGAATGCATTGTCCTTCATCTTTAACATTTTGCAGCTGCAGATTTGTCAACTCGATACGCCGGCGCCGGCAGGCTCCCGCAAGGCCCACTATCAATGAAACTTTTGTCAGGAAATAAGTTTTATCATCAGCTTCTAACAAAACACGAGTTATGTCTTCTTTTCTTAAAATTCTCGATTTTTTTTACCAAAACCCTCCCGATTTTCTTTTTAGAAATGCAATTAAATGGACGTACTTACTAATATCTGTATTTTTCTTCACTGAACGTAGCATGGAATAATATACCCAAAGTGATGAAGCCTTCCTATGTTTTGAAAGATGTTCAAAATATGCCAGGAGAACCTTGTCGTTACTACTATTCTTGATTCCTTTCCCTTTACACCAATCTTCAAGTTTTACATAGGCTGCTCGTACGTTTGTCTTGATTTTTCGGGAAGTAGGGAATCGACAACGTTTTGCGCAATGCCTTCAATATCCGAAGGGACACTTTCAGAATCAGAATCACCCATATTAATATTATTTTTTGCTTTTTGCTAAAACTGAACGTATAACACAAAATTCAAGTCAAAGTCAAAATGGAAACAATCAACAAGCACGGTTACTACGGCGCCGGCGCCGGCGCCGGCGCGCGGCGTCGTGAATTTTAATTTTTATGAGGATATCTTTGATATTTTAAATTAAATCAAATCTCTTTGGATCATCCCTCGTGTCGCGTCGTAGATTAAATTTTGAATGATACACATTCGATACGAATTTTTTAATGAAACTTGTGTACCTAAGCCACTCGGCTAACGCCTCATGGCTTAATGTTACACGCGTTTCATTATGATGTTCGTATCGAACTTGTATCATTAATAACTATTAAAGGTTGCTATTAGACTTGAATCAAGGCAAATTAATAAAATTGTGTTTATCTCAAGGAGGCCAAAATCAGCAAAATATCAAGATACAACTTTTAATCGGCATTAAACTTGGAATTATTTTCTTTCAAATGATATCAAAGTGAAGTAGATGTTTCCAGCAAGAAGACTTATAAGATGACTAGTGACTTATAAGTTATGGCTGTTACTTAGTTTTCAAAGTTTTTAGCTTTTGTTTCGTAGGTTTTATAATTTGTGTGTATTTTCCTGAAGGGGAGGGCAGTCAATAAACCATAAGAATGTGCCATCTGTAGTATTTTTCTTTTTACATTTTTGGTCTTCAATTAGCATTCGGAATCATTTTAATCATTCAACAACAATTAGTTATGAAATCCCAGTTAGTTATGAAATCCCAGAAAAAATGTAGATTTCCCATGTTAGTGACATCACAATTGATATTATTGTTTGAGCTGTTATAGATTTTTAGGTCAATAGTTTAGATTAGATCAATAAATTTCAGATTCCCCCTCGTATATTGAGCAAACAATATATAGGAAAGAAAAGAAAATCAGAAACGGGGTACTTTCACAATTCTCAGAATTAGCATATCGTGCGACAACCCGACCGATCAAAAATCGATTTGTATTCAGAAGACTGCAATGTAAAAGTACCAATTAAAACAACTAATAAGACATAGGAAACACACATAAAACAAATAATAAAGTAGTATGTTTATTATATTTTGTAATGTAAAAGATCACAACCTATTTAGCAACAAGATTAGTAAGAGTTAAATAACAGTGAAATTCAGAATATGTTTCTATATGTTCCTATTCTCTATGAAAAATTACTAACCAAATACTACCGTTAATACTTATTTTTTTCAATACTCTGCATGGTCACACTATGATTAACTGTTTATCATCAGTACACGAAAAAACAATTTTAGTCGGTAACTACTGATGTTAACAACGATAGCAAAACATGATTTTTAGTGCGAAACTGAGTTTATTGCAAGTATAGTACTTATACTACTAAGATTAAGTTATTAGAAGCAGATAATTTTAGCTTATGAGTTTTAATCATTTGCTGATAGTGCTACTAGTCACTCAGAGTACAGTAAGTGTTTTGGCGATAATAATAGAGAATATTTTTGTGTTATAAATGTGGCATGTATTGAATATGGAAATAAACCTCAATATGAGGACAGTTGAATGACTTCGTTTCACGAGCGGTCGATCTCTACGTGTCGTTATTTTATATCTGTTATTTTTTAGAAGTAGCAACGGTTGCGTTATGTTATTTCTAAATAACTATTATAAAATAACAGTTAAATAACAACCCATCTGTAACTTTGACTTGCGCAGAAGACTTGCCACCGACACAGATCACAGGTAGGGATGCCAACTTTCAAAATAAAAAATAAAGGACGAGAGGGTAAAAAAGAGGCACAGGCGAAACATTTTTTGAAACCTCGCTCAAATGTCTAAAATTTATCAAAAAGTTATGTAATCGGTATGCGATTGATGGTGTTTCCTACTTTCTCAAAAAAATTTATACTCAAAACTTGTTAAAATAAAAGAAACCAATTTCAACAATTTTTTTTTTCAAAACATAAGCTAACAGTAAGTAAACATAAAATAGGTAAACATGTTTATCGCTATCACAAAGCTTTCTTGTACATAAATATTTCTTCATTTTCTTTTCTGTACAATCGAGTGGGAGTAGCAAAAGACACAGATTAACAATTTTTAAAGCATTATGGCGATAGACGAATATTTTTTAGATTTTGAGTTTGGCATGTAAAAAAGAGGACTTTTTCAATGCGCGAGAAAAAAGAGGACAGTGAGATCAAAAAGAGGATTGTCCTCTGGAATAGAGGACGGTTGGCAACCCTAATCTCAGGCAAAGCGCACGACTATCTAGAAGAGAGTGCGTACGCAACAAAGTAAATAGAAGAAGAATAACTAACTGACACTTACGGTTGAGATTCTAGACTATCTGCCAACGCTACGTCAGCCTGCAGGCTGAACCTCCTCCTATTCCTCGACCAGGCCTCCCATTGCTTCCTCAACCTCCTCTCCGAATTCTTCGAATTCAAATGCCTCCTCAGGAACCTCTGCCACTGCGTCTGTCCATCATGCTCGTCGCACTCCGAGCACGAACTGTTTGAACCCACACTACTTTTCCTGCTGGTCACTGTACTATCACACCAAGACGACTTCCTGCTTTCTGGCGTTGAAGGTGTCGTAACACTTGATTTCTGACTCTCGAAACCCGAAGACACCGACTTCCTCTCAACCAGACTGCTCTTCCGACTGTCTGTCGGCGATGCTAGAGGATATTCCGTAGAAGAATGTCTTCTGGAGGGCAAGATAGGGTCGGCAAAGGTACCGTTCTGACTGTTTTGCTGTCTCAGCCATCGCATTATGTGCTCGTTTCGGTCTTCTTCCAAAGAATCTAGGAGGATTTCGTTTAGGTTCTCGTAGATCTTGTCTTCTTTGGGTACGTAGCCCATTTTTCGCATACGAGGCGGTCTGGGTTCGGCTTGAACTACTTCGTCCTGTATTTTTTCGATGGCACTGACTATCTTATCGTCCAAGGCGTCTTTCGAGTACTTACAGTACTTTTTTAGGAGCCTCAGCACGATCTCGTCGTTATCTTTACCTATTACCCTATCAGTCTTTTTCTCCCCTTTAAATAAATTATCACTAAATACATTCTCCCTTTCGATAATCCTTAGTTCGGGCATCGAAGGTCTCCTGGGCTGTTGCTCAACGATCCGATCTTCAGGAATCTGTCCCAGACTAGTCTTTCGTTCCGTCACTATGTTATCGGTTAGTTTTATCACATTGTTATTATCACTAGAGAACTCGAACTTGGTGCCGTTGAGCTGGTTGTTGAACATGAGCTGCTTGTGCTCGTCGGTGAGCTCGGCGAAGCCGTTATCCTGCAGGATGAGGTCCTTGTTGGCGACGCGCTCGAGGAAGTCGGTGATGGCGGCCCAGTGCGCCTGCGTCAACACGCCGTGGAGCCGGATGGAGGAGAGTTGGAGGGGGATCCATTTGTTGTCCTTGTAGCACCAGACTACGCCGCCTGATTGGTTAACCATGCTTTGGGAGGCGCATTAAATAGCGGTGGATGGGGCAATGCTCGCTGGTGTTTCCTCATAGGAATTCTTACGGCTAAAAGTTGAAAAGGAGAAAAGTTTTGATTTAAATGTTAACAAGTATAATTGATATCGACCACAGGTGGTACATTGTATTTATTCCTGAACTATATTTCCACGTGTTGTGCTTGGTTTCTTCAACTATACATTAAAAATGATACAATTTTAAAAAAAGTGATGATAATTATGCATTTTTTAATATTGCTCTATACGTATTGTGTTTGGTTTCCTCGATATTCGAGAGGAATGAACATATATTAAAACGTCTAAATTTTTGTAACTTTTTCTTACCATTCCATTTGAGAGGTTGTACCAAGTAACCATACTGAAATACTGAAGGTGTCATATGATCGGGTAATTGACATGGTAATTGTTAATTTGAAGTATGATGTTATGTAATGTCAGGTTATCGTCACATGTGCTTTTATGTCAGTTTAAAAGCACATGACAATGATTACAATTTTTTTTGTATACTTTTAGTTACGTAATCGAGGGCGCGATTTTTAAATCCATTGCTGCAAACCATTGATATATTTGGCGCCGGGCTGACTAACTGGAATTTATTTTTCCCACTGGAGATTCAGGCGGTACCTCTGCTGTAAAAAAATGTCAAGTTGCCACATTTATTTGTTTATTTCCTGACATTGTCATTCGTTTTGAAATTTTAGTTTTGTATTAGAAGTTTTTGCTTTAAACGAATTGTGTTGTCATACATTAAGTTTAAACATTTTTACTAGCAGACCTAGCAGTCGACCATTGTTCTTTTTAGAACCTTTTTTACTGCGAGGTGTACAAGATAGCTTAATAGCCGTAAAAAACTCATCGCAACTTTATTAGAATGTTTTGAACGGGAAAGTCGTAGTAATGGCCCTTTATGTCCCTTAAGTGCTGTTAAGGAGGTAAGTTTTCTTATGCAAATAATAACCGTATATATTTATAATTAATTTATTTTTGTTTCCTAAAATATTGATTGATTAAAAGAAAATATGTAACATTGTGCCGGTCAAGCTTAATCACGTGATTAAAAGTTTATTTGATATGAACTAGTGTGACATTGGACTTTATTCCACTAGTGAAATACTGAAACTCTGTTTTCTAGACTTCGCAAGTTGTAAATAGCCCCACATACAGCAGAAGATCCGGCCTGTGGACCCTGCCTGCGGACTTGGCCTGTCACGTACCAAAACTCTCGTATTTTGGCCTGGGGACTTGGCCCGCCGATTAGATCTTTGTCCGATTAAATATCCTCCTCTGAGACAAAATTCGACGTTTATATCAATAAATGTTTATCCGAATAAAAACTACCGCTTAGAAGCAAAAGGATAACGAAGACTGGTCTGTCGACTGTATCCTTCGTTCGTCTTTTTAGACCAATCTAATCTGACAGATCAAATCTGCGGATTTGGCCTGTGGTAGGCTTGGCCCGCCAAAGACTAGCCCTGCCACATACTTGGTCCGCCTCACAAACGCAAAGTTTTTATCCGCAGGGTAAATCTACTGGTGTATGGGGGACTATTGGGTAGTTGCTTCTTGAACTTCCGCAAAAATTGCTGCAGAAATGCCATCATTATCTACTTGCCTTTTTGATGGTTTTTAAAAAACCTTTGCTAATTCTTGCGATACAAGCTCACACTTCATAATCTGTGAAACAATAATTAACTATTAGCTGACCTGGTAATATGAAATATGACAACATTTTTTTCGGTAGAGAAAGAACGTTCTTTCGACAACACACGGTATAAGCAAGTATAAGTGACCTAAGTCTGGTCAACCTTGAGGTAAGTTCACAAAGTGCTTCTTGTTTTATTGTGTAGATATTTTTTGTTGACAGATTAGCAGGAACACCCACCACTTAACGGGCCTATTAAAGAGAATAAGAGGAGAGTACAGAGAATGACTGAAAAAGTTGAAACCGAGGGGTGTCTCACTTCGGTAAAAAATGTACATGTACTGCCAAAATATCATTTTACTGCCAAACGACTGCCAAGGACTACGCAGAAGACTGCCTATGACAACCATGTAATAATTATAGGCTGATAAAACTGCCAGTGACTGCCAGCGACTGCCAAGGAAAATGTACATGTAATTCCAATAGTGAGCGTGGAACTTCATGTCCACTGGATAGTCAATTACATGTAGCGGCTAGACGATTGACATTATTTTTGATTTAATGAATACTAAAATTTCGGAATTTTTCATATACAGGGTGGCCCATCGAAAACGTTTCGCAAGGCATAACGGCCAGGGTATATTTTTTTTTTCAAAAAAATCCAAAAACACGTCAATTTTGTTTGTGAAAGGGACAACTTTTGCCCCAAAAATGATTGCAAAATCTTCAACCCTCTAAGCGGGGGTGTCATCCCCCAATTTTTTTCAAATGGGAAGGGGGGTCAAGTGGTACCGCAATGAAAAGAGCTTTCTATTTTCTATATTTCCCCGCTTCGTTTTTGAAAATCGGTCGAGTCATTGAGCAAATATGAAGGATTGAAATTTGAAAAGTTTATTTAAACATTTATTAGAGTAAATGATAAGGATAAACTCCTTCGACCAATTTGAGGTTTTTCTTATTATTTCTACATGTTTACGCATTTTTTCACTTGTCACAAGGTTGAACGAACAGGTGCGGTAGTTGCTAGATAGCTGTTCTGTGACTTGTGCGTTGAAGTTCTTCTCAATATTGTTAAACTGACCTACAATAGAATTTCCAAAAATACCAGCCCACACGTTCAATATCTGAGGGTTTTGTGTGTGCACCTCGTGAAAAATCCTGGAGTTGTCCTCAGCCTAGTACCGACAGTTGTACCGATTAACTACACCGTTCAAAAAGAAAGTACACTCATCCGAAAAACATACATTAAATAGGAAATTATTATCATTCGCCAGTCGTTCACTCATAGTTTCACAAAATTGCAAGCGACGCGCGACGATGAAAATCGTCTTCGTAAGTTCTTGTACCAACTGAATTTTGTACGGGTGGAACTTGTGTTTTTTTAATATCCTTTGGACACTTGTACGATTCACGCCAGACTCATTGGCCAATTTTCTTTTACTCATCATACTATCATAGAATAATGTAGTTACCACAGTTGTTGTTGTAGTAACTACATTATTTTATGGTACTATCCATGGCAACTTGGCACAATACGAATACCTCATAGCTTCATTTACTATAAGATTTTCCCTCTGCCTCTTTTTATTCATAACGGAACCATTTTCGCGAAATTTTACTACTAACTTGCGAACAATTTTGCCATAAAGGTGTTTGTCAGAATGGCGTTCATTGAATATCTGCGCAACCCGATTGCCACATTCATTATTTTTAAAATAAAGTTCGATTATTTCCACTTTTTCTGCAAGCGAGTACACCATAATTGTTAAAAAGTTTAACGATATTGAGAAGAACTTCAACGCATAAGTTACAGAACAGCCATCTAGCAACAACCGCACCTGATCGTTCAAACTTGTGGCAAGTGAAAAAATGCGTAAACATCTAGAAATAATAAGAAAAAGCAGCATATTGGTCGAAGGAATTTATCCTTATCATTTACTCTGATAAATGTTTAAATAAACTTTCCAAATTTCAATCCTTCACATTTTCTCAATGACTCGACCCATTTTCAAAAACGAAGCGGGAAACTATAGAGAATAAAAAGCCCATTTCATTGCAGTACCACTTGACCCCCCTTCCCATTTGAAAAAAATTGGGGGATGATAAACCCGCTTAGAGGGTTGAATATTTTGCAATCATTTTTGATTGTCCCCCTCACCAACAAAATTGACGTGTTTTTGAATTATCTGAAAGAAAATTACCCTGGTCGTTATACCTTGCGGAACGTTTTCGATGGGCCACCCTGTATATTTCCTTCAGCCACACACCCGCTTTACCCGACCCCTGAGAGCGACCCGAACAGTACAGCGTAATAGACTCTTAATCTCACTTTGAATATATCACAAATAGTGATTTTTTTGCCTATATCTATAAGAAGGCCAATGGGATCTATAACTGCGACATTTCTATTAAATCACTACCCAAACAGAACATGGAACTCTAATGGTATTTTTATGCAACGTTCTAAACAAATAATTAAATTTTGGTCTCTGGCCTGTTGGTGGCGTTGTAGGTTCGCTTCCAAATTCGCCAATCGCTCGCAAAACAATTGAAAGCCAAACGGGCAACGGAAAATGTAACAATTTGCATACAATAAAAGCGTTTTAAAATGTGTTTTGGCATGAATCATAGAGACAATTCGCGATAAGCGGTTGGTAGTTAGTTATGTTCGCGATCGTTAAACCATTAACTGCCGTTTTGCCGGTACTCTTTTGGGCTTAATACTATTAAAGTTCCGATATGGAAGGCTAATGATGATTTATAAAAAAATATAGTCATGTTATATAAACATTAAAAATATATTTGGATCAATAAGTGCTAATAGCAACCTTGATATTGTGACACGTGACAAACAAATTATAAAAACGGAAATAATTAGACATTTTTAGATAAAATTAACAAACGAAGTTAAATCACCAAGAACTAGTTAACTACTTTTAATCCTAGACATGTATAAATGATTGAATTACCATATAAATTAATTTATTTTGATCCAACATATACAGTAGAACTTCGATAATTCGGACACATATTGGAACAGGCACCGTCGAATTAATGAAGTATTCAGATTACTGGAGGAAAATTTTTATAATGTTATTGTTTCATACTTTTATTGTTCCCAGCCTAGACTCAAAATTTAAACACATTTTTATTTAAACCACAACGCAAAATGCTTTATAAAACATTAAAACATCTTTTTGTTATCTTCATACTAAAAACTTTCGTCTAAGTCGAACCATTCTCAAACGAACAAAATACCAATATCATGTACAATGACTAAGCATCTCTTAATGCTGAACTAAATAATATTAAAACGAATTTGCTACAGAGTGGTTACTCTGAGAAGTCCATTGACAAGATTATAGCAAACCGCAAAACAGGCTCTTTGGTGCGTCAGCTTGAAGAAG